CCCCTCCCCGCCCGCCTCAGGTGGGAAGGGCTGCTCCTGTCGACCCCTCCCCGCCCGCCTCAGGTGGGAAGGGCCGTCCCCGCCGTGCTGGCCCCGCGCGGCGGCCCTCAGGCGCTGAGGGGGCGGTGGCGGCCCCGCGGGCGGGCCGGAGCGGCACCGAGAGGGAGAGTGAAGCTCGGCTTGGGTTTTACCGCTATGACTCGTGGTAACAGCGGGAGCTCGTTTAAATACACTTAGGTGAGCGGCGTGGTGTTGTGAGAAAGAATATAAACTCTAGCCAGAGAGCAACATAAATTCCCGCTTTCCCTTAGTGCCGCTGTTGGAGCGCGGCTGTCAGTCCCAGCAGAGCTCGGGGTGAACCCGTTCGAGCGCTGCCCGCCCTTCGGCGTGACCCGTGCAAGGTCTCTTGTGGTACTGACAGCGTTCGTGGTGATAAAATAAAACGTGTTAAAGGAGTTTTTCCTCTATTTGATAACATGARCACAGGTACAGATTTGGAAAGTTACTGCTGGCTTTTAGACATTTTTATCCCTGTGCTGCTATTTTAAGACATAAACCAGACTAGGTTGCACTCTGAAATGTGCCGGAACAAACAGTGTCTGTGCAGTGTTTGAACACAGCTGGTACCACCAGCAGCCACAGGGCCATATAGAAAGAGCAATTAAATCAGTGGGCTCAAGGATGTCTTTGTAACTTCTTGCACCAGCGTTATCGTGGTCAGAGTTACAGGGACAGTTACAACTTGGAGGCCTATAAAGCTTTAAAAACCAGATTTTGTGCCGGGTTGAAAGATCTTAGTAACACCTTTAGCTCAGAAGGTTTTGGTTGTTTGGTTTGGKTTTTTTTTTTGTTTGATTTGGTTACTGTTCTGTTTTAGTATGCCTCGAATTATGTTTGTGTGTGTATTTATTGAATCCAGTTGTAGAAGTCATATTACTGATTTCTGTGTTGTACAATCCCATTTGGTTTGGAAAGAGGTATACCTGTAGGCTTGATAACAGATAATCAAATTATGCTATTGGCATGCAAAACATAATTACAATATCAGCCTTTCAGCAGTGATGAGTGTTTTAAGTTACTTGAATTGTGCACTGTACGAGTAGTTTATGTTTTTTGCTGAATAGCAGGTACTTACCATTTTTAATATGTATGCTCCCAGCAGAACCTCTTGCACATACTATGGATCAGTAAGAARGAGAACAGATAACAATCCTTCTGCACAGCAGTATGCAGGAGCTGGGAATTACAAAAAGCAATTAGTCCGTGTCTAATAATTTGTCTAATAAATTCTGGTTTATGGAAGTATGGAAACCTAATAAACCTCACATATCTAGTAATTTGTGGGACTTGCACATAAGCTAAGATCTTTGATTAAAAATAATTGCTTTTGATTTAGGATCGTGCATGCTGACTTATGGCTGATATAGGCAGCTTCATGCACGTCTTTAAGGTGGAAGTGTTATCTGATCATTATAAAAGGCTGACCTGGTGGCTCAAATAGGTACARTTACTACAGGCAAATTAAAATGCGGAACAGATGGAAATTCTTGGTGGCTTCCTGAAACTTTTCCCACCTGCAGGACCAAAATCTGTACTTGTATTTGGGATGTGTTGGTATTAAGAGTTTRTTTCATTATTTGGCTTATACTGGTGTAATTTTTACCCATACAAAATTCAAATTCTATTCTCTGCCTTATGTGACTCTCCTGCATGCCATCACTGAAATTTCCTCCATGCTATTGCTAAAATACTGCCTAATTTTTGAAGCCACATCCAGCAAAATTTCATACAATTGACAGCAATACATGTAACACTGTTTTTTTGATTTTTTTATCTCTTTTGAAGTACAACATTTACAGTGTTTTCTCTTTCCTTTGCAGTATTCACAACTGTCAGATTGATGTCGTATGAGTAACAGCTTTGAGGCAGGTACTTTATTTTAAAAGTTCAGTTTCTTAGTAATGGTTAGAAAGCAATAATAGATTTGATATTTTCTGTTTATAAAGCCCAAGATGGAAACATGGGATTTCTTTGTCTTTTTCCAATATGGTATTGCACATCAAACAAAACATAGGGATGCAAAATCTCCTTCCCTTTCCACAACTCAAAATCTTAGCATTATTAAAAAGTACTATCTATTATTAGTATGACAGTGGTAACCAGCATCTCAAATAAGTTAATGTGGTTAGAATGAAAGGATTAGCTTCTAAGGCATTCTTTCCATGTCTTTTAGTATTTCATAAGAACTCAGGTGAGTCCAGTTAAACCCATTTCTGCAGAGAACCTGATGTTAGCAGACTCTTGTGCTTGCAGAAATCTCCATTCTCTTTAGGGCCATAATGTCTCTCTGACCCAAATGATCAAATAAATTCTCCTTTTCTCACAAGTCTTTTAATGAAGCAATGAAATTCTTTACTTCCACTAAGATGAGRTGTATGAATACAGAAGGAATAGGCTTAGATAGGAAAAGGGAGGACACTTAGAAGCATCTGTGTGCTTACAAAAAGCTTAGCTGCAATGTAACCTATGCAACAGTGTCTTTTTGAGAGTTTTGTATCCCATGCACAGGGTACATGGCACTGCAGCTGCAAGTGGCAGGAGCAGTGGAGCTGAACTATTTGCAAAGAGCGTYAAGAACTTGCAGTTGTCTGCAATTATAAGGTATTTTGCTAGTATTAATACTTCATTGAAGTGACTCTGTCTGATTAGCTCAAAGCACTAGCATCCATTTTGCGGTAGCTCTTTTCAGTATTAGGAACCACAGCAGAGAAGAATTATGCTTTCTAGGCAAATACACTTGGCTGTGATTAATCACTTCTCCCTGAAATGATCTGGTGTTGGTTCTTTACTGCATCAACTTCTGAGTTTTCTGAGTAAAAACTAATTATGCCTGGGAAAATTTACAGAAATGCTCTATTCATATATTGCATAAACTGGATGGTATAAATGTCTCGGTCCTATGACATTTTAAGCATATATTGAAATTTATGGTTTATCAGCTTCTGAAAGGAGGTTTGGAGGCTACTGCTGATAGTGGATGTTCTGCATTTCCCTCTTACCAAGCATTAACTTTGGATGATCTAAGGAGTAAGCAATGGATGACTGAATTTTAAAGGAAAAGGGTTTGGTTTTTTTTTTTTCTTTCAGGGTAATATCTCCCTTAAACATAAATTTTAAATTTGTCATGAGTTTGTTGTAGAATGGTATTACTGTACTGATAGCTCTGGTATATGGGTGACTGGCACAGGAGGAATAAATTTCATGCCTAATAAATGACAACCTTGGAGAAAGAGCAAGCACTTTACTAAGATGTTTGACAGTGTAATTTCATCATGATGGCCTGTCTGTGCCTTGTCATTATTTAGATTACTTTAGTTTAAGTTCTGTTTAGTTCTGCATCTTGGCTGGCTGTGTTCTAGGAACTGCAATAAYACCAACACTTCAAAATTTTTACACACTGACTCATCATCAGTCACTGTCTGAGCTAGATGGGAGCAGCCTATTACAACTGGAAATTTACATCACAATTGTCATCCAGCTCCTGAATACAAACTTTGTTTCCTCACACAACACCGCTTGGTTCCCAGCTGCCCTTCAATAGCTGTGTTCTGTTGCTGTGCAGACTTAGTGGGGCTTAGGTCTGCRGAGAAGGCTGCTACCAATTCACTGTTTCCTGCAAGGGGTTTTTCTTGATAGAAGTTCTGCTGGGAAACCAAGAGTACAAARTTATTGTGTCAGCTGCTCTGAACCCAAAACACTGTATTCTGCAAAGCGGTTTGTTGTGAAATAAGTATCGCAACAATYGTAACAACAAAATTCAGGGAATGTTTTTAAGAACACGAAACATGTAGAAAAGGAAGATAAGCATGTTAAAGATACGTTTTTGTGTATTTATTCTAGAAATTGCTAACTAGGGATGAGGTTCAAAAAAAACGTGTTCTAACTTTTCTTCTAAAAAAYTGCAGGTGAAAATAAATTATCATGTCCATGTAAAGCACATATGATAGTGTATGTGTAGTCAAAATTATACAGTCTATTCACAGTGAATACAAACAAAAAGTCTTCCTACTTTCGTGCTAACATTATTATGAACCTACAGTTGACTTTGGTTTTTCATAAAGCAACAGGTCATTTTCAGGTGGATTTGATTTACTCAAGTATTAAAGCTTGTATTGGGAAGAAATTTTAAGTGTTCCACTGATTTGGAGACTCCTAAGTTAGTTATTTCCCTGCTGCAGGATAAA